TCGTGCTACGAAGATGATCTGGATCCTGGATAATTGTTTTTCTTATATTGTTTTAAGAGCCACCCCCATCCTGGTTCGATACTCCCTCGGCCGTAGGCGTCATACGAACACGGCATCCTGGTAGACCGCGTCGCTGCACCCATCGACTAGTCCCTTTTAATGTGTCGAGTAAACTGAGGTATGTACGTAGACTACGTGCGGGCAAGTACTTCCGGTAAATTCAAGCCTACTCGGCAAATAGCACACACCCATTTAACGAGAGGTGGTAAAGTGCAGTGCCTCGACCATCCCCCTATACGATACTAGGCTAGAGGGTTGGTCGAGCACGGCCGATGGTGAGTACCGGCAGCTAATAGTAATGCCGGTACAGTGATATAGTAGTGCAGGAAGTGTAGCCGTAAGCCAAGGGATGCTCTTAACGAGATTAGAGGGTCGCCCACTAACGAAGAGGTCACTTTGCCTAGATGAAATGCAAGTACGAGAAAGATATGCCGGGTTAAAGCGAACAGCATCATCAAAGGGAGGTTAGGAAAACGCGACCTGTGAACTTGACTTGAACTTTCAATAGGATTGAATAATCTCCCAAGTCCGTGTCTCGGGCGTAATGAGGCACGCATATTCAATTAATTTGACGTAGCTCGGTTGCGTACGCACGCACGCGCTCACGCGATAACGCAAGCGCGCGCGCTCGCGCACCAGTCGCACATTGAGAATAGGTCGTAGGCAGAGAGAGAGAGAGAGAGAGAGCACGTAGCCCGCGCATCGATCTCTCAGGCTGCGTTTGCATTCTTCGACTTTGCCCGAATAGAGGCGATTTGGTGGGACACGACGGGCGTCATAGCGAGGACCCTGGGTAACTTTGCGATTAGGGACGTCAACGTTGTAGCGTTAGCTAGATATGTATGAATGCGCTGGTGCGTACTGCTAGCTCTCTCTCTCTCTCTCTCATGAAATGAGCAGCACTCCCGGAATAACGCGAAACTCATCGGATCATAGAGGAGGCGGAGGAAGAAACGACGCCTCGGACGAAGAGGGTCCCAAGCTGAGCGACGTCGTTCATGCCCGTTCTGTCTCTTCTTCAAGGAATCGGCTCACGTTTTACGAGCCGCGTTTCTATTTCAAGTGTCGATCCTCTCTCTATCCGCTCTCTAAAGTGTCTAGACTCTAACTCCTGTCCGCGTCCCGATTTCCACCCACGAATCATTGCCGAGGCGCCATCATCCTCCATCATCACCGTCCTGGAGGACTTGCAGGAATACTCTGTCAGATGAATAGCACTACTTGTGGATTGAGTGGCGTTTGGAACCACCGTTCCTACGTTGTTATAACGGTTGGTACATACGTAGGGGGTGGCTGAGATTCATTAGACACCAAAGAACCCGAGATGAAGAGAAGTAATAAAAGTTCATGTTTGGCGAAGGGAGGCGAAGGGAGGCGAAGAGAGCCGAGGAGAAACGATTCTCACCTCCGTCCGTCCTCCGGCAGACACATCAACGTCTCGCGGAGCGCACCTATTTTTATTTTTCCACCGAAAATAACACGCATTCAGACTTTCCCCCTGGGCTGCTGGGTCTCTCTCTTTCTTTCTCTCTGTGCCTCTTCTTCTCTCTCTCTCTCTCTCTCTCTCTCGCTATAGCTTAGTCAAGACTATCCACTGAGCTACCGAGCTGCTAAGCCATTCGGACACCCTCGCACCTCTCCTGGTCATTGGCTCTAGGTACCTCTAGTCCTCGCGCACTCGTTAACGAACGTAGATGACGTGGGACGCGCGACGGTTTGTCCTGCACCAATTGCATTTACTTTCATAAGTTTCCAGGCTTTATTGTTAGCCGGCCTCGTCTTTCGTTTTTCATGCACTTTACGGTTTCGTGTTCATGACGAAACTGACGGCCAAGCCAATTGTCAGATGCGCTATACCTAATGCATACCTGTAGGGTATCTCGTGAGTATGAACCTCGGTATACGAGGTGTCAGCGTGGGTATCGTTGCAGTCGCGTTGGCGGCCACTGATAAGGCTACCTGATAAAGGGACAACCATTGAAATATTTGACGATTTCGATTCGGAATCGGACGACACATCGGGCGACTCCTCCGTCGGCATGTCCGCCGGCCACGAAACAGAAATACCCGGCGTGCCCGTCCTATTTTCGTGTCTTCGTATTCTCTGTGTCGTCTGTTTCTCGGTCTCTTTGCTACCTTGTCACCTCAATCCCAATATTCATGATTCTATACAATAAGAAGAATATATATATTATTAGGATCGTCCCGTTCCCGATGGCGAAAACAGATTTCGTCCTGATAGAACTTATGGATCCGGTATTTGTGTTCCCATTTGACACCCTAGACGGTGTTACAGGTAATGCACTATACCGCCGTTTTATCCAAGTTGGATCTGGGTTGGTTAAGAATCAGTAAAATTTTTCAAAAACACGGATGTCGCTGCTCGTTCGTAATTTTCTAATTATAGAATGGTCTTCTTGGACTTGAACCAATCCTGACCTTCCCTGCCATGCTGAACGACCTAGAAAATTGAAGGAAGGAATGGTTCTAGAGATGTTCCCTAAAGGCGAAGAATCTGGCGAGGAGCTGAGAAGTGCCTAAAGGCAAGCGAATATAAATCAGTTATGCATTGGGTGCATCGTGGTTAAAGAGGACGGGACTGCGCCGATATTCGAGGCCGTCGTACGTTTTGCCTTTTTAAGGACGGGACGCAAGATGGCAAGAGTGGTCGATTGGGGGCGATCGATGAACGAGAGTTCGGAGCGAGGGTGAAACGGAGCAAGAGAATCAGAAAGAATTCTCCTCCTGGTTATTCACAACTTTTCAAGATTCCACGTAGTCGAAGGAATTGCCATAGCGAATGTACTCCTTGACTGAACTCTAGAGGCGAGTTCAGAATCCTAAGTAGTATCGCCTCCCTGAAAGAGTCAACGCCCGAGTTTCTCTAGCATTTCCAGGTTGTAGCGATTGCCTTATGCAACCCAGTGTGACCAACAGCCGCGCCCTTGCTCTACCATTGCCGATAAAAACAATAAAGCTTACAGTGTCCCGAGGACCACCAACACCAGGAGATCATCCTCCAGAGCCATTTCCCTAGTTTGAACAACTGCATCGAGGACTTCTCTTCGAATCGAGTAGAAAAAGGCAGGCCCTACCTCCTGCTACTAGAGACTGCCATTACCGTATTGAGATGCTATCGGCTTATCGGAAATCGATCCATGGAAACGGCCGGGACCTCCCTGACGAATTGCCAATCCACTCTGTGGCGAGATCGAAAGCTTCTCGCGAACCGGGGTACGTACCAGGACGATGATAAAAGCTTTGATTGTGCGTGGTGGAAGGATATTTTACAAGCTAGTCACCACTGCCAAGACACGGAAGAGCAATTTGTTGAAGCGAACAATGAAAAGAAGATACGTAGCGCCTAAACGGCCAGTGGAAGTAATTGCACGTCTGTTAAAAGTTAAGTAAATTAATAGATACAAAGATAATTCAGCTAGGGCGAAGAGTATTCGGGAGTCGGTGGAGATAGTCGAGGTGGTCGAAGAGGAGGAATAGGAGGAGAGCGAAGCACATGGTCGAAGCACCAGCCGTGACAGCAGCTGTCACATGCCGACCGGCACCATTACTCCTGACATCGCTAGCTTTCCGAATATTTAGGGTTCTTGGCTCCGCATCCATATTGTCTGCGTTACCTGCCCCCCCCCCTCTCTCTCTCTCTCTCTCATTCTTTCTTTTATAGCCTGGCCACCAACGAACTCGCACCCTCCACGCACGCTGCACGCACCACGCACCTAGGACGTCGTAGCGATTTTTCTACGTACATTGCTCTCGTGTTCAGTTCCTCTTCTTTGGCTTGGACGGTCGGGTAAGACCGGTCTACGAGAATAAAGGATCCCATTTCATTATAATAACTGAGGGGTGAATCCTAGAGAGAGAATCAGGGAAGATCGATGGGGTGGGCAGCAGAGAGAAAGTAAGAGAGAGAAAGTAAGAGAGAGAAAGGACTCTCTCTCTCTCTTTCTCTCTCGCTCTTCATCGAAGGGGACAGCTCGTCCTGGATATGGAACGATCGACAATTTCTCAGCGAAATGGCTAGCGAAGCGGATAGGAAGAGGAAGAGGATGAGGATGATGATAAAGAGGAAGAAGAAGAGATAAAGGGAATGAGAATCGCATGGTTCACCGGTTCACTGAATTCTACTACTTAAGGTTTATGGACAGTTGATTGGATCCAAGGATTCCGGAGTCGTGAGACTGCGATGGATTGATGGGTTCACAGGTTTGAGGGATCATGGGATTTGCACCGGGCGCACTAGATCGTATTGGGGGGGAAAAGTCCATTTCGCTCGAGGAGCAAACGATAGGTGACATTGTCGAAGACGATATTTCATGAGGAATTCAGGAATTATGTCTGCTCACCGTGGGAAGTGTGCGGGACGTGCGTGAGTACGATCACGTGTGGACGTTCGTGTATGAACCCATGGGGATGAAAGGGCACACGTCATGCCACCCTAAAAGCACAAAAGCACCCGAAAACCCTTAGGGACTATAGTGTCTCGCGAGGATACGAAACTTTCACGTTGCACTATACTCCTCGTGATTCCTCATTCACTCGATATCCTAGGAATACCTTATCACGTTATTCCACCCTGTTTCACCCTCCCTATTCTATTGTATTCCATCCGGCGGTTTGTTTGCTCGCGCAAAATATTTTCTTGGCAGTTCGCACTGCCAGAAACGAAGGTAAATAGTAGTAGGTAAGCATACATGCAGGTACTATTCTTGTTCGTTATACTACAGTATCCCGCGGCTGTTTTTATTTCTCAAGAGCAGATGTGCGCGTCTAGGTTTAAGCGAATAGAAGTACATGCAAAGAAACAAGCTTAGACATACGCGTATAAACAGACACGTATACGCCGATAAACCATCTTCGAGATAATACATAGAGAAATAATGCGATGTACTTAGGCTTTTAGGTTTTGTATTGCAGTGTCGTACCTGGTGGTACTTGGGTGGCGAGAGCAAGGAAGGCCGTAGCTGCCGCTACGAGTAGGAAAGTCGCTGAATCAAGTCGTCGACGTCCTCGCCGTCGGCGTCTTCGATGAGTATGCTGATAGGCCTTGGTTTCGTGTCTCGTGTCTGTAAAGTGTCCAAGGAGCAGGTCCTCCTCGTGGCTGAGACTCCAGCCGGCTTGAGCCGGCTCGAACAATCTTTCGGAGTCAAGGAGTTCGTGTTGCCTCTCGTCGTCGTCGTCGCCGCCGCCGACGCCGCCGCCGCCGCCGTTCTTCGTCGTGTAAGGGTTGCGACGACGAGCGTGACGTCTGCGACGAGGGATGCGGGCCCTCGCGTGGGGTCCGTTCATGTCCTGCACCGGGGCCAGCGGCGAAGGCTGGTCGCGTCAGCGCTTCCGCTCGACACCGGCGACGTCGTCTTTTCCTGGCATCGACGCCGCACTACGAGGCATCACTACTACCAGCACCGCACCACTACCACTACTATTACTACCACCACCTTCTCTTCCTCTTCCTTCTCCTACCCCGCTGCACCACTGACACTCTATCTCTATAGTTCTCTCTCTTCCTCGCTCTTCTTCTACCTCTGTGTCTCCCTCCTGGACCTGGGTACTTCTACGTACTCCGGTACGATACTCCTTTTACTCTTCCTCCGCCTCTTCTATCTGGCCCCCGATACGATCGGTACGATCCTGCGTACCGGCTCCTCTCCAGGCCCAGCAGCCACTGCCGGCACTCCTTCCTGTTCCTTCTTCTTGCACGAATCCTCCTCCTTCCCTCTAATCCTGATGGTCGACACACTTCTACCGGACCTCGTGCTCGCGGTCGTTGGCGTCCGTTCCGTCGCCTGCCCGTGGCGATCTCTACTCTAAAATAACGTCTCGTGGTTCTTGGTCACGCGTGGCAACTGTCGTGCGCGCCGAATGACCCAAGGGTGAGAAAGAGCAACGGACACGCGGTACGATCGAATCACAAGAACAGTAGAAAAGGTATCGATCAGAATGACTGGTTAAGAGGTGAATTTAATATCACTTATCCAAAATAAATACAAGCCGTAGTCTTTTTTCTCCTAATCGTATTTAAAAAGTCTGACCGATTCCGCAGTTCGAATGGCCACGATCGAAATGACGTGAAGTACGCTCGAAACAGGAGGACAATGTATTTTTACACAAGCGCCGCTAGCACCGTGACGCTAATGTGCGTCTAGCGTAATAAAACCGACGGCGACTTTATACCCGTCGATTTACGTTAATCCCAACGTAACCAGCCGACGTATCTCCGAGGAAGAACGAACAGCGAATGATATAGAAGGGATCCCCCAGTCTCTGGGTAAGGGTGAACGGGGAGGCGAGGGGAGGATGCCGATATTCCCAATGAAACGTTGAGTCTTATGTTTTGTGTATAAACGTGAATAACCAAAAGATAAAGAAAAATCAAATTATTCTATTTTAGGCCTATGCAGAACAATGTACTGCGATAGGTCCTTGACGAACACTGCTCTCACGAGGATCTCGTATCCTGACACATCCTCGGCGACGCGTTCTCGCTACGATCACACTCTCCACGCGGACTCGTCGACCGTCCTCGAGCCGAGACTCGGAAAGCTCTTCCTCCGGGAGCGGCCAGTCGGCGAGTGAGGACGGGGACAACGCGTCACGTTCGAACGCACCTCTTGATCTACGAGAAGGGGTGATATTCTCCCGGTGCCAGAGCAGACCGAACCGGCATTGGCAGTCAGCTCGTCGGGGAGCTCGTCGAAGACTGGCGCGCGGCTCCGACGACTGGCTGGCTGCCTGGCTGCTAGCCTCCTTGCTAGGTCTTACCGTAGGCTTTTCTTACTGGCTCGCACTTTGCTTGACTGTGAATGTCCGATGACTGACTTACTCACTAACTATCTAACAAACTAACTAGCTGACTAATAACTAGCTAGCTAGCTAGCTAGCACGTTCGCTCGTATCCACTCGCACCGACGCTGCCGTTGCCGCCGCCGCCGCCGCCGCCGCCACCACCACCGTCACCGCCGCCGTCGTTTCAACGCTTCTCACGCTCTTTGCGTACGCGCAGCAACGTCGCGCCGTCGCGACAATGTCGACGGGTACGGCTACCTCGCGATACCCGGCTTAGACGACCTCGAGGCAAATCGATGCCTCGTCTCAGACCTCCTGACGACCTACCAGGAATCGGATCTTTTGTTTCTATAATTTGTTCTCTTCGCTTCTTTTTATATAATAAATATATCGATATCTGCTCTCTTAACGTCAAGATCGCACGATTTCTCGATACGAAGCTATCCTTACTTATTATTCTACGTCGTTTACTTTTCTCAGAATCTCTGTAAGAATAGGCCGTCGATGCGTCGTCTCCTTGTTTTTCGACGGTTCGGAGTTACATAATTCCTTATTTCATATATATATTACATACTTGTATTGTACTTGTATACGTTTCTCGTGGAGGACAGACGGCACTCGCACATCGCAGGTAGGGGTCTGAGCACCTGGAGAGCACGAGGTGGGCGCCAGGTGGTACAACTTGTTGTGGGAGTTCAACGAGGCGCGTGGGCACTCACGAGTCACCGGTTTCCCAATCCCTTTTTGGGTACCGACCATCATGGTTCGTACTCACTATCAGGGTGTCATACAGGCTGTTTCATTCCCGCCATCACCAAAAGTACCTGTAGAAGGAAGGGAGTAAAGGCAGGTATCAAAGAGAGTGTTCATCATTAATATGCTCCAAAAGTATTTCCTTACTACATAGTACAAAAAAAAAACGAGGGTCGAACAGCAGCAGTCTATGCTATGTGCTAGTATCTAGACAAGGTACGTACAGTCTTTCGGAGAGACTGAGTGGGACTGGACGAAGAAAGGACATTGATCCCCTTTTACAAGGGAGCCCCTTTAAACGGGCGGCTCGCATTTGCTTCGTGCCAGAGGGTGACCACCCTGTTCGTATCCTTAAAGACTTAAAGGCGAGTGCCGCTTTCGAAGTTCCCTAAAGACAGTGACAGATATTCAGGTAAGAAAGAAATACGTTATGACAACCTGGTACTCGAGCAGCAAGATAATCGTATGCTTCCCGTGTCATACATTTTTTCGTAAGAGTTAAAGGAACATTGTAAGCAGCTAATATTTTAATTAATTGTATATCTAAACGCAATATTTAGTTGGCATATTGTTCTAGAAACGCCAGTTCTTAATGAGATCGAAGTACCTATAGAGCGTGTTGATCATCGATGCTGGGACGATCTTGACTACGCGGTGTCCCCCCGAGGCTTGTTCCTACCGTGATGTATTGGCGAGGCCCGCGCTAGCTTCTGTCTCTCTTTCTACTTACTAAAAATACGCCAGGCTGATACGCCATGCGATTCACCTAGCACGTGGCCTTATCCTCAGGGACTATGGTACCGCTCAGTCCTACGTGTCCCGTCGCATCGACCCGGCTTGACTAAATTTCTCGTGAATTTCGATCGTACCTGACCAATAATTGTCAAATTAAGATGGGGTTTTCCCTGGACAAAGACATATTCCACCCTGAAGTAATACGCGGCTAGACCCCTGGTTACGACACGCCTAGTCTCCAATTCCCAGAGTTTGCTCGCCCTTGTGGCTGGACTCGCCACCCTGGGAATTCCACGAATCGTGTACCGAAAAATGGCCTAATGAGTGGTTTCCGAGTAGGAAGCTATATCGTATGCTTATATATAATTTAGCGCATGATTCTGCTATCAAAGTACTAGGTATATGTTCTCTGGTGAGAAAGGTGGATTCGAAGTTAGAAAAATGGCAGAGAAATCACGATGAACCATGAAGGAAAAAGAAGAGGAAGTGGAACGAGGCCGACGTAGAGAGACTCCGGCGACAACCACAAAACTCGAAACGACGTCAGGCTTGGCTTCCGGCCATTTCCGAGCTATTGATCCACGCGTTACACGTTACGTCGGACTGCCCTATACGTAATTATAAGTGTATCGCTTATGGCACTAGTGTACCCACAAAATACTTATATGATCCACTTTCTTCTTCTTTTCTCTATCTATCTATCTTTCTATCTATCTATCTATCTTTTCTCTATCTATCTACTGCTATTCGTTATCTCACTCTGTGTACATTTTTCAAGCGATATACTCCATGCACCACAGAAATTTCATAGACGTCTAGTCGACATTGCAAGTCCCATAAACATCACATAGACGTTCAAGAAAAACAGTCTTGGAACTTCTTTGCTTTACGAGGTGTCGTCTTATGGTTTTCTTGAGGACGCTTTAGCACAAGAGGGTAGAAGTACCGTAAAAGGTGTAATTCGTATTCAATAATCGGTGGAGTGACGCACGGTGATGAATAAATAAAACGTGAAAATGTTGCGAGCGACAAGAAAAAATTAAAAAAAAAATTAATAAGCGATAATAAATAGCATCTTAGTCGTCAGCAGCCTTAATCTAAGCTCTTACGCACGTTTCACGAAAACAGTTGCGTAGATATTAAAAACTATCGAAAGTCCACATATCATTTAAACATATCAAATCGTTTAATCTGACTATAATGACTATGATGATTTCTTGACGATTTTCAATTTCGAATTCATACTGTGTGACGTAAGGATCCCAATTGACGTATCGCTTTCAGCATTGGGACCCGCGAACCATCTGTCGCTTGCGCGCATGAGGCTACCTTCGCCGGATTCCCTAAAGGCTCATGCTCATCGCGGTCGTCCTCGACACGCGTCCATTCATTATGCTTACCGGTACTGATTTTGCGCGTGCAACAAACGAACAAATGTAAGCGATCCCACCGCTTACTTGTGCTTGGGGACAAACGTTTGGCCATTAGGTTTGCCTCGACAATTGACGCTCCTTTCAAAGAGAACGCTCTTCCAGGTGTACGACGTTCTCTCTCTGTCTCTTTCACCCTAGTTACCCCTCCCACGCTCCATGGCACTTTTGCCCACGCGAAGCCGCTTTTGTTCAAAGCGCGACGATGGCCTTTTCAAGTCCATGCGAATATACGTAGAAAATGGCCAGCGCTATTACATTAATTAGTATAGTATTCACGTTACTCGCGCCATGCCAGGGCGTGTGTAATATTATATCACAGGCGATTTACTATGTTCTACCAGGCTTAGTATATACGAACCTAGAATCGATAGACCGAAATTACTCTGACAAGTTACTGTTAGTTTTGCCAGGACTACAGTACACATCATATTGCTTTGGATTCACTCCTTGTTTTCCCATGGAGTATACACGCACCCGCTCTGGGAATTCTCTCTTTCTTTCCATAGATGCGTGCGTGCATGGTTGCACCAGAGTACATACGTGTGTGTCTGAACCTTCTTCTTTTCGAAATTCAATTTACTCTGTTCGGAGAGCGACGAACCCTCTTTCCGTAATCCTGGGGGGAGGGGGGGGGCTTGAGGCCACACGAGGGTAAACGAGTGAATGACTAGTCGTTGGTTGGGGAGTTCTCAAAGCGCATGGGAATCGATGTCCGAGGGTGTTACGTCATCCATCTATCCTTCCTTCTTTTCTTGAAACGCAGGATGGCACGAAGAAATAGGCGACAGGGAATAGGAATAGTCCCAGGAGAAGGTGCAGGGGGTAACATCATTGGCACTATTTCAGACTTGCAACGGGGTTCAGTGTAGCTAATAAAGCATTGTCATTAAGATCCAACGAGGGCATCCACAGGGAGGAAGTGATTTGGCTGTCTTGGTAACGGTAAAAGGTGGGTATGGCTGAGTTGGTATGACGATCCAGAAGGAAGATGGAGAAGCCCCTAAAAATATGAGAATGAAGAGGATAGAAGGATCGGCGTACGCTTTACTAAGGATCAATACGTCACTACTATGAGAACAGGCGCACGCATAAAGGTACGCACGCTTACATTTGTTAGTCTCTAGTCTGTTTGTTTAGTAGGCGGTGCGAACCTGAGCTTCTCTGTATTTGATCACGCAAGAATCCACTTAATTGTTACTATTTTGGGAAGATCTGCCGGATAACAGGACGCATATTATTGTTGGACATATTATATTTGGGGAAGATGTAACTGAGAAATAAACTTTCAAATTGCTTCCTTATATGAAATTCATAGACGTGACCTATATATATAAATAAATATATAATTGGTTTTTTACATTCCATCGTACGAAGATACTCTCGACCTTGCTGCCAATGTTGACAGTATGCGACACAGTCATATTCGCACGTGTGATTGGCATCATGTCGTTGTGGTCGTCGGTGTTTTCTCGACAAGCTGATACGCGGTCATTTCTAATCTTTCGTCTCAAGGGACGATCCTCTTTAGTCGTCGTTACACACGACACGGTAAGTCGTTAGATTTGACGAAAGCCGACATGTTTTCTTTAATCTGTTCGTGACGCCATCAAATATTGTTTTAGATGCATTTTGATGATACTTTTCATTCAAAGAAGTCCGCAACTTCGGCTAATTCCCTGGCGCGAGCTTGTTGGTGGGCCCAACGTTCTTCCGCCAAGCGCTCACTTAATCGCCATTTGTCATGGTAGACTCGCTGACCGCAACTCGGACACTTTTTACCACCTATAATTATATAAGTGCATTTCATAAAATGCCGATAAATATCGTGAGACACGTTGTACTACTTTCATTTATAATTTATATTCAACTTTGACGTTGTATCTTTACCGTGAAACGGTGGAGTCTTCATATATGTTATTAAGCACTGCAGATGAAACAGATGTCCACAGTAGAGTCTTTCTACATGCAGGTCAGCATTCTCATCGATTACTGCTTCTTCTGGTTTCTCTGGTAAACAGAGTTTTCGACATAATTGACAGCGCTCCATTGGCAACATCTTAACTGACCTGCATTAAGGTTTTGTAATACCAATAAGTAGATTTTACTATGAAGTCCAATTTGGGTATTAATTTACCTTACAAGGAAGGAAGCAACTATGTTTAAGGAAGGTGATGGCTGAAAGAGTGTTGCACGAGCCTTTTCTTTTATCGGTGGTTCCACACATTGTCTACCAAGTTCTTTACCTTTTCCAAGGATATAGCGAACAATTGCTGCAGGAAAATTACTATCGGTATCTTCTAAACTAAAAACATAATTTAATTTTTAAAATGAAACAAAATTGTTCCACCATAGACATGAGTAATATTGAATAGATACCCAACACAGCGTTCAGGATAGTTATCTGGTACCACTATCTTGGTTTTTAAGTAATATGAACCCTGCTGAGCTTTCAAGTATATCATCGAGGTCTTTTGTTTAAGCTTGAGTTCATCGTTCTCTAGCAAGAGCTTCTTTAAGGAAGCAATTTCATCATAGCAACAAACAAGAGAATTTTCCTCAATGAAGTTACTTATAAATTTTAAGACCGGAAGTATCTGAAAGTCAAATTGACTTTAGCAATAATAATTCTCCATTTTCAATTAGCATTACACTCTTCGCACCTGTGCTTTTCCCAAAAGATTTTCACATTCTTTTTCGCAAACACTAGTTAGTCTGTTCAACAATTTCTCTGAGAGAGTCTTACTCTTAAGTTCAATGAGAAGAGGCACTTTCGGATAGTCTTGTGGAAATTGAATACATACAATAATTTTCTTGAATTGTGTTTTCCTGTAAAAATTCAAGATATTACATCTGACCAGATATAAAATCTCATAAATTAACTTACACTGTTTTCTTTATATTTAAATTATTACAGCATATAATATCATTTTTATAAAACACAATGAGTTCTTACGTTATTTCCACTCGAACCATACTCTGAACACAGCACACCAGTCGACTACCATCGATAACATTTTGACACAGCTTCGATACCTCCTGGAGCTCGTCGTTGATGAATCCCATGTGCCTATTCAATTATAAGCTTTTTACCTTCTATTCGAATGTTTATATGACCAAGACAAATAAGCCTATACCTTTACGGAGAGGTTAGGTGCAGTGACAAGAGCGCGCGACGCTCGCCTTCACATTTATCGCCGCGTTTGCATGCATACAAGCAGCAGAACGCACAGCACACCACTAACTCACGTTTAACCTTGAATGCAAACATTTTTTCCCTGAACTACGTATAAAGCAAACGTCGATAAACCAATTTCTTTAATTTCATTGATTTTCTGGAATTTTGTTTAACAAAAAAAATTCTTCGGTTCTTGTACACAATATTTGAATAAGCAGAAATGATGTCAAATTACCAACTAAAGTGTAGTGATAAGCATATCAAGTACTATCGTGATGGATCAACCGCACCCACAATAATAATTCTCTTTGGTTTCGGTATTTATATGGCTAAAACGATAATGAGCGTTTATGTCAATTGAGGAATGTCGCACGAAGATAACAATAAATAACTTACAGTTCTATGACTTTTGGGACAAAAAATGAAGATTTTTAATGGATACTGTAGACGCGATTTTTAGATTTTGATCAACTGATAGAACATCGAGACGCAAACTAAATGACAATATTTTTTGTTCGTAATGTCATCGCGCATGCATTAATGCAGTCTTCCTTGCGCAATGCGTTCGCGCATAGCAAGAGTACTGTTTCTTTTCTTCTAAGGTAAGAATTGATGTGTCACAAAGTGTGCAATTTCAATCGAGCAATTTATTAACAATACTGTGTATTATTGTGCCATAACACAATACTCGATTGAAATTGTGAATTCGGGATTAACAGAGAGCAGCTATATAGCAATGCTAATGGCGCCGATATTATTAATACTATATTAAAATATCGAGAGTACCTAAAAGCTAAGACATTGACTAGATTAGTGTTCTACACAATAGACGCTATTATGCTGAACAGTGTTGAGTTGTCCGCATTAAAATTCGAAACTATTAAATACCGAGAGAGTAAGAGAGAGAGAGAACAAAAAAAGAGAGGTAGGAGAGAAACAAAGCATATTGACTAGAGAATTCTGCTTTACGTAGCAGCGCCATTTTTTGTACGAACAACGTAATGATTCCGTTACATCCTTTAGTGTATTATGTAATTCTCGGAAATTGACATGCAATAATAATACCGATCGTAGCGTACGTCAACTGAATAGCAAATAGACGATAATTCTATTCGCGAAGGCCTCATCGTCAGACATATCGACAAATAAACTAATCGCATTTCTAGATGGCGTTAAAGTGTTATTAACGCATAAGAAGGCAACACCGTCACGTTTACCGTGCGTCGTTTTGAAAACTTGTCTTCCATTCGCCATCGCGATGCGAATAAATCGCATTTAACATTACCAAAGGTCATGGCAGTTCATTAGATTCTTTTCGGAAGTGTCGGTTTCCTTAAACCGATATTAAAAAATTGTAAAAAAAGAAACTGTAAATATGTCGCTTAGATTATGGATGCGACGTTCGCATCTTCTTGGCTAATTCATTTTTTAATCAATTATCAGCTGTTCGATCTCCTTATATAGCGAGCATTTTTGTTTAAGTGCTCAATAAAGTAATGTCCGGTAATTTCTAATCATTCTCTCAATTGTCGCAGTAACTTTCTTCGGTCATCTAATGTTCTCCAGAGTTTTCCTCCTTCTCATTGTTCGCATTGCTCTCCCTGTTGCTTTCGGTTTCAATGAAACTGTGCAGTTCCTTGCACAGGGTCTCCTCGCAAACTACGCCCTCAATGGCGACATTCTCAATGACGTCCTTATACTCATTCTCCACAATTTCATCAGCATTCATATCGATGTCTTTGAATTCTGTGTCGACAATCTCCTCACAACTCTTAAACACGTCCGGGTGTTCGCTGAAGTTCAGCAACTCAGGATTCTCATTGGAGTTGAGAATGTCTGTGTTGATTTCATCATCTGTTGTATCGGTGGACTGAGAAACCTTCTTCAGGACACTATCCACCAGGTTTGAAGCAAAACTCTTACTTTCTGTTCCTTCGTGTATCGTCTGGTGAATTGGTAGCGATTGTGGCCTGCAAGGTCGCGCATATGGAAATGTATTTTCTTCACCAGCCGGTGTGTGCACTGCAGATATCTCAGTCTGCGTGGCGACGCCCTTATCGACTAAACCTGGTTTTGGTTGCATATTCGACACACAACGTTTAATCTCGGACATGGAGTCCTGGAGACGTTGAACCTGTTGACAATATAATACGATTAGCATACTTTCGTTAAACTTTTAGGATTTTGTGCAACATACATCCGAATTATATTACCTGAGTTTGCAACAGGTTGCACGCTTCTGCAAGATTGGTAACGACGTCGGTCTTAGAGTGGCAAGTGAGATCTCCGTCGCTACACCCGCCACCCGTTCCAACACTAGGTTGAAGGCTCACGACTTTCTTCCATAATGCATTTATAGCCTGCATCTGCAGAAGTTGCAACTTGTGTTCGCTTTCGAGGGCTGTTCTTGTCGCTTCCATATCAGTAGAAAGTTTTCTAGAAGCCAAAGAGGCCAATGAAGACCATATGACATTAACATTGTTCTATATAGAATATAATTAATAAAATCTTACTGGATATATTTATTCGTCCGAATCATCTCAATTGTCTTCAATACATTAGTTGCCTTTTTATTCAAGTTCCTGGTGCGGTATCCTCGCCACATTCTTTGGATACAAATAGCTGCCTTCTCTGTCTGATCTTCTTCTTAATTAGAAATAAAAGTATAAATATAGTTACAGTTTAGTACGCATCAAAACATTCGATTATTACCTTTATTTGTATCTTCCTGACGTCGTTGAATAGCTCTATGTCGAATACCATCAAGCTTAGCCTGACAGACTTCACTGTCTTCGTCACTGCTTAAATTGGCATTATTGTCGGCGTTACCATCACCGTCCCTATTGCGCCTCGTCAGATTACTCTTCATTCTGTCGCTTGCACTTTTTGGTCTTTGAGCGCTTCTACCTAAGTTCGGTGAACCTTTAGTGTTACGCTTCACCGGCAGCGTTTTACTCTGAACGTAATTATTTATTTTCACGCTATGCGGACATTTCCCATTAACATTTGTCACCACAGGCTTCGCAATGTTGACCTTTGCCACTGTACAATTAGTCGCTGAGTTGCTCTTCGCCAGCGCGTTTGCCTTCAGGGTACCAAGATTCGTCTTCGCCATAGGATTAGCTGTATTTATTATGGGTATCGCTTTTCCATTACTGTCAGGGCATATTTTAGAGGGCACCGTTATCTGACTAGGTGAATTCAATTTACTGGGTGGTGTCTTAGGTAGAATTCGAGAGAGTCCTGATGGCGGTCGGAAGTCTGGACTCATCAAAGACTCTGGAACTGGTACTAGCTTTGTGGCTGCCTGCAGGGGACTTGAGGTTTCTGTATAATGAGATATAAATGAATAGAAACAAAGAAAAGAAATACAGTAGTTCAACGAATGATGCGTGAAATGATCTCTGCTCATTGAGCAGAAATGTTTTCTAGGCCGTGAAGATTACTTATTACTAAGTGAAGGGTTAACCTTTTCCTATAAGTTAAGATCATACCTTCAACATCCTGCAACAAGTGAACATGCTCGTTCATTGACTTGTTGGCTAAACTACTCAGCATATTCGGATCCAGACTTTGAGTCATCAGACTATCGTGTTCGCTACTGAGGATCGCATGGCAGGAAGAAACCATTGCATCGGTGTGGCAGCTGGTCACCATTCGATCTGGCGAATGCATCTTCAGGGTGTTGCGTGATGAATCTAAATTAAGAGAGTCTGCTTAGACTTGACATATGATTATTCGATAGTCGATTAAAACGAATGTGCATGGAAGACATTTGGCGCTAGCAATGCTAGCCGAAGCGTGTAAATGATGTTAAGATAAATGAATGCTTACATATTACAGCAGCTAGTTAAAATGAGGCCGTTAAAATGAATTAATATTAAAGATAAAGATTCAAAACTCTCAGTAAGAAGCGAATGCTGGAGATAAGATTACATATAACTAATAATTAATTGCTCAACAAGATTGGTATTCTGTTCTCAACGTTCCTAGTACCTTTGTAAGGCGTAATGCAGGCGCAGTATTTTGCATCGTAAAATCTAGACGTTCGCAAGTTTTTGTCTTCATAGTGTGCCGACATTGGCGCAACTAGAGGACACAAAGAACGGTTCGTGTTGACAAAACTCGCTCTTATAAAAGTTCTATCGTTTACTCCTTTCAATGCTAACCAAATTGGAGTGATAGAAGCAACGATTGAACATCTCATGCACGTCATAGTTCAGATTTAGTCATTTCTAGTGTCTTCGTGTGGTGTTAGGACTATTTTTAATAGAATTATAATCAACCGTCCAGTTCAACTCACTGGGTCTTCTTGGGGAACTTGTCCTGTTCGTGTTGAGACGGCGCCTTGTCGCTGGTGACGGGCTCATACCGACACTGCTTAGACTGTGAACACTACCGGCATCGTTTTGTTGGCTTAGTTGTTGTTGATGATGCTGCGCTTTACTCAAAATCAGTCTGAGCTTCCGGTTCGACTCGTTTTCCAATGATTCACCGGACAACGGACAGACGGATGCTAGATATTGAGCTAATGGCGAATGTTCACCTACACGAAATTGCCGGCCGCGACCCTGAGAATAGAGCCACTCTGCCTTTAGACTGGGCGAGTGTTAGTTACCCCTTGTTAGTAAAATATTAGGTTGCTATATTAATTCCATTTTGTTAATATAAAATTCTACTTACGTTTCTATGGGGTCTACGGCATAACCATCAATCGATTTCAAACTCATACACCAATTGATAACAAATGGCCGATAATCAAATCCGCTATTATCTATTGGTTAAGAAGAATAAACTGGGGACATTCTATATTATTGTACTGAAGTCTGATAGAGTAGATGTTTTTGTAATACACAAATATATAACAATACTTGTAATAGCTTATCTATATTGAAAGGATACATGTTATTACCTGTCATACTGACACAAGGATTGTTGGCGATTGAGAAATTTACGAGATTCGTTAAATTTCCCAACTGAGACATTTCATTTAGATCCATTATGTTATTGTTGGCTAATGTTAATGTTTCCAGTGACGTGGGTAGATAGCGTTCGCACTGTCGCAGTGTTATTATACGATTGTTATGCAAGAAGAGTTCCTGAAAGATTATTTTGTTGTTATTGAAATACTTGCATGTAATATTGACGTGTTACCTTTAGATTTCGCAAGTAAGAAATGTCTGATATATGGCTGATGCTGTTTTCAGACAGATCTAGATGCTCCAATTTAGTATTAGTATGTAAATGTTCAATTGACTGTGAAGATAAGGATGCATTAGCAATTGTCTGTTATGCTGTTATATGTTCAGTATTGTGAGACACTGTACCTTAATGTTATTACCAGCCAGGCACAGTGTTTGTAGATTAATCATCTCTTTGATACCTTCTATTGCCAATATACCATTGTTTGCTAGGTTCAAAGTTACAAGATTGTGCAACTTGGACACACCATGCATTCGTATCAACTGGTTCCTTACAACAGATAGCTAAAATTAATAAAATCATTGTTCCATTAATATCTCCTTTAATTTCCCATCAAAGTAGTGCTATCGGCAGTGTTTTAAAATGTTTTTATTATTTTATATAATATACACTTCTATTTTGTTTTAAATACAGATTTCCATAATTCTGACCTTAGTGATTCTGTGATAAGAATCAAGATTGTCAAGCCTCTGGATCTCATTATCATCCACAATCAATGTGCTGATATCTGCATCAGATGGACACCGGCTTAGCTTCTTGAGGCCCTGGCCACTGAGGTCGAGTGTATCGCACATCAAAGACTCTAGATCACGAAAGAAGTTCATCGTTAAATGCCTAAACATTGATTCCCAATACGCCCAGAAAGAATGACAAAAAGTGTCAAGATTGACAGGAGACAGAAGATTCGTTAGAACGATTATAAATATATGTCAGGTGTTGCCGAAACTATGCTGTTTCAGTGCAGTACGAATTCATGAGAAAATCGGTAGGCCGGTTCTCGTAGAAACATGCCGAAAATACACTCAAAATTTGATAAATTCATCACTAACCCGTAGAAGCCATGATGAATACAATAAGATGGCGGACGTCGCGGAGATGTCGCTACGATTATTGCTGTTGTTGCAAAGTATTTTGTACTGCCCAACAATAAAAACAAATGGAATTATTCCTTTCATTTCAATTTAAATTCACTCCCATCACATTTTAAAATAGCTGTCGATAATTTGTAGCAAATTTTTAATGCATTAATTGATTCATAAATAATATGACAGGAACCGATGTGTGATAGACGATAGGTTTTTCTGATCGTTATAAAGAACCTCATCGTTTAACAAGGGCACGTAAAATGCTATATATGATACTTAAAGACGATTGCTATTAATATTTTTGATTACGAATTGCTAGAAAATAAAAATCACATTTTACGGAATGAAGCTCTGTCATTATCGATTGCGCGTGTACTCTATCGGTCAAACAGTATATAGGTATATCATTTTAGTAGAAATTCTTCACGTGTAATGTATTTTGTTTTTAATATTTTATTCAATGTGTGATACTTTTTAGGCTTCCTCGAGGTCGGCACAGAAAATATTCTCATTTTAACATTCGACCAACGTTTCGGTAAGGTCTTTCATTTTAATATTTCATTGTATCTTCTTCGAATTTCACATATTCCTCTATACTGAAGACTGTCACGTGTGATGTATAACGCTTATCCGATCTTATATCAAAGGGAAGATGCGTCCACGAATCAAGCTTTTAAATATCTGTATACGGCATAAGTCTTCAAAATTTGTCTATGAGGAATTTGCAGAGTCGTTACCAAAATCTAGCAAAAAACTTGTTCGATTAAAGAAGTTTAAACACGTGGAAAGTGAACGCATTAACGTAACCTCAAATACGAATTTGAACCAGATAACAACAAATCAATTCAAACTTAATGATGAGCTAACGAATTCAATCAACAATCTACGAGAAAATGATGTAGAAATTGAAGCAAGTTATATCAATCCTATTGCAGCAAGGAAGATTGTACGTAAACAGAAATCTATGACAAATGCTGAATTACAGAACATTTGGCAGAGTATTGATAGTGTGGATCTGTTTCACAATAATTTTGAAAACAGTGAGAATAAGCAGTGCACTAAAAGAGAAGATTCAGAGTTAAATGTAGTGTCAAAAGAATCAAACCCTGTTGATTTTGAAGTTTCAAAAGATAATGAATTACGAGTGAATGAATTAAACATGCAGATGATTTCGAAGAACTTATATGAACAATTGTTTGGACGCTGCCATAAAGATGTTACATATTCGCCTGAGCAAGTAAGTCGCATAAAGGAGGAATTAAAAGAGTTTGGAATAAACATAGACTCTTTTACTCATTTACCTGATGTTAATATTACCTTGCCTCCATTGGAAGGTCGCAGTATAGAAGAACATTTCTATAACATTGCAACAGTACAGACAAAGCTATATTTGAAGATCATACATGAGATTATGAAAGATGTTCCTGAGATGCCTAAAGAATGGTTACTTCAAGAAGGATGGACTAGATATACCAAAGATAAAGTAGAGAGCGTAGATTACCCCTTAGAAGAAGGAATTGTTTTTGATGTGGAAGTCTGTATGTCTGAAGGATCATTGCCAACCCTAGCTACTGCTGTTAGCAGTAAAGCCTGGTATGGATGGGTTTCCAAATCATTGATAGATGGGCCAGGAATACCTGTGCAAAGTTTAGGACATACAACAGAGATGCTTATTCCCATAGAAAGCTCTAACGAACAGAATGGTCAAAAACTGAATAATCACCAAAAGAAACCAAAGATTGTTGTGGGCCACAATGTTTCCTTTGACCGAACACGGATCAAAGAGCAATACTGGTTGAATTGTACAGGTACACGTTTCATAGACACCATGTCTCTTCATGTTAGTATCAGTGGAGTTAACAGTTATCAGAGAGCGATATTGAAATCGGATCAGAAGCAATATGAAGCTGAAGAATGGCGCAAGACTGCTTCCTTGAACAGTTTAGTGGAGGTTTACAGACTTTACTGCGGGAAAGAACTTGATAAGAAAGCAAAAGATGTATTTATTGAAGGATCATTGAATGATGTCCGTGGACAGTTCAATCAGTTAATGATGTACTGCGCTCATGATGTTAAAGCTACACACTCAGTTTTGCAACAGCAATTTCCTATGTTCCTGAAGAGATTTCCTCACCCTGTTACACTAGCTGGAATGTTGGAACTTGGTTTAGCTTATCTACCAGTTAATTCTAATTGGGAACGATACATAGAGGAATCAGAATCCACCTACGAAGATCTAAATTACGAAGCTAAGTGTAGTCTCTCAAAAAGGGCTGATCAAGTATGCAAACTCATGCATAATGAGAAGTACAAGGAGGATCTTTGGATGTGGGACCAGGATTGGAGTATACGTGATGTAAAAATGAAGTTGAAACTTTCGAAAGGGAAAAATCAAGAAGCAGAGGCTGAACGAGAAAAAAAGACAGCGTTAAGAGAGCAGTCTGACATTGAAAAATATTTAACTGATGACGAAGACGAGGCAGATCCTCTCGAAGAGAAGTTTTCTTACCTACATGATACTAAATATCTATTGCCAGCCAAAATGCCGCACATGCCAGGATATCCAGCATGGTACAGAAAGCTCTGCTTCAAAGAAAATGATGAGAATTGGGTACCAGGTCCACAGAATATTAGTACATCAATGCAGATCACACCTAAATTACTGAACTTAACGTGGGAAAATTATCCACTGCATTATATAAAGGATCATGGCTGGGGTTTTTTAGTTCCTTACAATAATAATCTCAATGTCGAGACAAAATTGCCTTTAAAACAGCTTCTGGAACAATGTCGGGTATCAAACTTAACAAAAAGCAACGATGATGTAGAATACGCAATGGTCTCCCTAAATAAAGATGTGGAGAATGATCTTCATAAAACAGAATTCTGGCGACATAAGAAAGAAAAGAAGAGTGATTCTGAAAAGGCAAGTGGTTACAAAGGTTCGGGAATCTGGTGTAACGTTAACATAGACAATTGCTGTTGGTTCTTTAAGTTGCCACATAAAGGTGGGAATTCGTATAATGTGGGTAATCCACTCGCCAAAGATTTCCTTAACAAATTTTCGGAAAACGTTTTGGCCGGTTTAGACGAAAGTGCCTCCCAAGTCTTAAGGATTGCCAAAATGGTCTCTTACTGGCGGAACAACCGTGATAGAATCTTATCGCAAATGGTAATATGGATCAATCATAAAGATTTGCCAACAATTTCAAAAAAATCTAAGGAAAAAGGACGCACTAGATATGGCGCCATCATTCCGCAGGTGGTAGTTTCAGGAACCTTAACTCGCAGGGCTGTGGAACCAGCATGGATGACAGCATCCAATGCGCGAAGTGACAGAGTCGGTTCAGAGCTACGCGCTATGATACAGGCTCCACCAGGATATAGCATCGTTGGAGCTGATGTAGATAGTCAAGAACTCTGGATAGCATCTGTCATTGGTGATTCCTATCGGGCTAAGATCCACGGCGCAACACCATTCGGATGGATGACTTTAATTGGTACGAAATCCAATGGTACTGATATGCACAGTGTAACTGCTAAAGCAGTAGGAATATCAAGAGATCACGCTAAGATCATAAACTACGCGAGGATCTATGGCGCTGGACAAAAATTCGCTGAACGACACCTTAAACAGTTCAACCCCTCGATGACAGAATCAGAGGCGATCTCCAAATCTAGAAAAATGTTCGCCATGACAAAGGGTAAACGAATGTACAAATTAAAATGTGAGGAAATCAATCCTGATCTAGAGGACAGATATTACTCCAGTTATGAGGCTTTTAAGATATCGAAGGTGTATGGTAAAACGATGCAGGAAATGTTTGATAAAGGACATTGGATAGGAGGATCAGAGTCAGCAATGTTTAATCGACTTGAGGAAATTGCCGGAAGTCCAAAACCTGCGACGCCATTTTTGGAGTCAAGACTAAGCCGTGCCCTGGAACGCAATGAGGATGATATCGATGATGAGAAGTATCTGCCTACAAAAGTGAACTGGGTCGTTCAGAGTGGAGCTGTGGACTTCTTGCATTTAATGCTTGTTTGCATGAGATGGTTGATGCGCGACAATGCACGATTTTGTTTGTCATTTCACGATGAAGCGCGTTATCTGGTTCCCTCACGATACAAGTACAATGCAGCGCTGGCTATGCACGTCACTAATTTATTGACCAGGTCATTCTGTGCCTCAAGACTTGGCATAAAGGACCTTCCTATGTCTGTCGCGTTCTTTGCTTCAGTTGAAGTAGACACTGTATTGAGAAAAGAGTCCAGTGATGATTGTCAGACACCTTCAAATCCTCATGGTTTGGAGAGCGGATACGAAGTGCCACCTGGCGAGTGTTTAGATATCTGGAAAGCGCTGGAAAAGTCTGCAGGATCTTTGGGACCTTGGCACAAAATAAAATCCAAAGGAAGATCGTCCACTTCCTCATCCTCTGTTCCAGAGTCTGCCAAATGTTTAAATTAGACGATAGGAAATTAATTTGAGGTGTTTTAAACAAATATTTCTAACATCTTTATTCATCTACTTTATTGTGATCTTTCAAGAGCTTCGAGTGTCCTTAGGATTACTATTATATTTTCATATCTATTTTTGCGTTTCGAGATTTGTTCAGCAATTGCATTGTTTTCTAACGACAGTAATACAGGCGTTGGTGCATTTATTGAAACAATAAATTACAGATTATAGTATGTCCAAAGCTACCAAGCGGAAACATGTGGAGAAAGAAGTTCAGGAGGATTTTAGTATGCCCACTGGGAAGCAGAGTATCGTCCAACTCCTAGAATCCAGGGGTAACAATCTTCACGAGGTTAGAGACCCCTCAGGGGACCAATATTTGGTCTCAATGCCCACCAAGTTTCGCAGAAGTATATGGGTAAAGAAGGGTGATTACGTCTTGATAGAACCGATAACAGAGGGTGACAAAGTCAAGGGAGAAATTGTTCGAATACTCACAAAGGTACAAATATATTGTTATTGCTGCTTTCTTAATTATCATTGAAATGTTATCATGACTCTCAATTTTTATAGGACCACATCCAGATTTATCGATCACAGAATTGTTGGCCGCAGGAATTCGATTTGAAGCAAAAAAAGAGTGAGACATCTGAACACGATTCTAAGATGGCCAACAAAGGAATAATCGATGAAACGAAGAAAAGTGATGATAATGAAGATGATGACGAAGACAATGATGATGATCTCTTTGTAAATACAAATCGACAATCTTGTTATCATGATACTACAGAATCTGAAAGCGATACAAGCACAGACCTGTCAGATTCAGATTGACGAAAATATAATCTATGCTATTTTAATTTACCATATAATCTCAAGTTTTCCTTTTCTATATAATGTAATAGTCCATTAATTATTTTACAGTATAAGAGTCTGTATTAAAAGTTAAGAGAATTTAATAATAGAATATATTTTTGATAATGGAATGGATAATATTCATTTATTAAATTTATTTATTAAATTTCTTTCTCTTTCTCATTAAAACATTCCTGGGGCAAGAGTCTATAAGAATTTCCTGATCTCATATAGAATAAGCTCACCCAGAGGAAGCCTAAAACTTACTTGTTACTTCGGAGTCACGTATTTGGATCGTAGCTACCCCACGACGTTCTGTCTAGAACAAATAAACAAGCCAGTCTTCATATAATATTGACTCAACAAGATCATACGAAGTATTCGATTCTACTTATGAACTTCGTCGATCTAGATTTAATTTACACTGGTATAAACAATTTTTAGTGTTAGTTGGGTGGATTGGTACAATGTGAGGGTAAAATTCTTAAAATTAAAACTTCTGGTGCAAGGAATGAACGGCTTCTTGTGTTCTATAAGTTTTGAACCCAAACGGCAATTCGTTACTCTGCAAAGTTTGACAGTTCGTTTTGGTTACAGAAAAAAAGTTTTTTAATCTGTACATGTTTCTTATCTCTATAAGATTATAGATATGTTTCGAAATTTACTGTCAGTACTGTGACAAGCGTTGTTTCATTTTTATCTATATATGTTAACTTTAAAAACACACCCTATATATCATAGTTGTAATGCGTATCCATATAAAAAAACTGAAGGAGATCGGAATTTCGGATTCACTCTACCTGGGTAACGTCTTGATGCAGGACGCCATAAATTCTCAGTTTAACCACAGATGGGAGACAACGACTAACGTCTTTGTAAACAGTTGCTCACTGAAACAGCATATGATCTCATGAATAAGTTTGTGTATCGTTTCTCATAGTATCTAGTCGCGCAGTCCAAACATAATATTTGTGCAGCTCCAGTTTGGATGGGTTTTCTCTAAGCTTTAACAACCCTTCGTACTAGCTGTCCCTACACCTTCTTCACTATGTGCTACATCCTTTCGGCCATGAACTTCCATGAGTCACGAGGTTAGATTAAGAAGAGCTTCCCAAAAGTTTTTTCAAAATTTATTGTGTCACCCATTGTCCCTTCAATTTATTACCCTCGTCCACCGTGTCTTTGTAAGAGGGGTGATATCCTTTGTAAAAAAAACGCTACTTTCTTTTGATCAAGTTAATTAAGAGCTGATATAAATTTTCACGAGTTTGCGTTCCGCTTTTTTAATTGTAAGTGAGAAGCATCTTAATGGCCAGGGTTGTGCCATTATCCAGGATATGGGTGTTTTCATTGTTACTAAGGATACGGTAAAGGAGATACTAATAAAGAGACCATCCTTATGGGACTTGGTCTCTGATGGCTAATAAGCACAGGAGATATGTCGGAACTAACAAAGATGTTCTGGAGGAAGTTGAAATGTCATATTGTTCAGTTCAAAAATAGAATACAGAAGGTCTCTTTAACAATATCTTATTAATGATTACTGTCATGATGCCTGGTAGTGTATATGGTTATTTAAGAAATTATCATCCTAGCATTTTTCTTTACTTGTCCTACCAAGGAAAAAACTTTCCCTCTTTCTGGAGCAGTTTTTCATTTTGCACTCCAATCTGGTTATGAGCCTCTCGTTGGAGTCTTAAAGGAATTATTTTTGTAGCAGTAAGGCTTCAAAATCACCGAGAGCGGTGGTATTGTACTGGGACTGCTCGATATAAGCCTCCAGCAAACTCTACCGTTTCATAACGCCAAGAGTATACATGGTTGAGCTTACATGTATATTTTTATCTGAAATTTCATATGATGCTGATAACGAGATTGCGTCCTAAAACTTGGAAGCACTTCGGAGTGGGGGAAGCTTCTGGGAACACAATGGAGGGGAAGGTGTTTATGACAAGAGGGCTTATAACCAGATTGCACTGTACCAAAGTACGAACTTCCCCTTCTTTCATTTTTTCATTCTCTTGGTCATTCCACTATCCTATTTGGTAAAAAAAAGCCGAATAGAATCGTCACGTGTGTCATTTTTCAGTAAAACGGACTCACGTGTCACTCGAAACTTTCTGCTCATATCTTTTTTTTTTAAATTTCGAATAGGAAAAGGACGCTCTGCCCCCTGCCACGTGGCGTCTCGATTTCTCTGACATTGATCGCCCCGAGTTGAAGGAAGCTAATGCAGCTTCCAATCTCCGAGCGCATTCCAATGCGCCTATTCCATATTTCCATAATTCTATTATTAATGCGCCTTTCGAATACGCTATCGTGCAATTTTCATTCCTTATGGTAGATGATTCTGTATATAGATATATTATACATATAGAGTTGAGCAGCTGAATCAGATTACAGTAGTCACCTGGTCATGATTATACAAGAAATGTAGGGAGCATTTTAATTTGGACATGTCTAATAAATATTTTTGTTTTCACTTCAATTTCACTTAGAAATTCAGAAATAATTTAAGTATCACATTAAACCCTGTATTACATTGTCGTTTATGTATCGCCCAGGTAATTGGGTTTGTGTCTTAACGAACAAACAAGACGACGAATGGGTGAATTTAAATTTTGCAAAGTTAAAGCAACTGCTTTGCATGAGACAATGGTGAGAAATGAATAAATGGTCTACTAGAGATTATGTGCACAGCCCTGTTATAAAGACACATGACAAACATTGAAAAGCCCAAAGAGTGCAGATTCGGGTAGTGATATTGTTCCATGAAAAAATAACGTATAGAATTCTAGTTAAAATTTTGTTTTGCTACTGCTTCATTGAAATTTCATTTATTTAAAGAGAAGCAATAAAAATGCCATGGCATTGTATACGTATGTCTTCGTTTACTAAGATATTCCCATTTTTCAGAGATGACGATACTGCACCCATATAATACATAATCAAGAAAAACTTTTATCTTCTACGTCGAAGCTATACGAAACACCCCTGAGGTAGATAGAGTACATCTAGGGGTGCAGCTGTTACATCAGACCAGATCTGAGTAAACACCATTTTTCTGATAACGTTGATATATGACTTACTTCTGCAATTCTCCCCCCCTCTCTCTTTCTCTCTCTCTCTCTCTCTCTCTCTCTCTCTCTCTCTCTCTCTCTCTCATGCTCGCTCCTACTCTGTCTCTGTTCTCCCCTTTCAGACATACTCGATTGTTCTAATTTTTCCCTTATGTCACTAGAATATAAAAAAGTGTATATTATAGGCATTCAGTTTCAAAATTTCGGAAAGAGAAATTAATTCTATTTAGCCCTCATTTGTATGTTATAACCAATGCAATAGTAGGATATCAGGTGCTTGGCATCAATTGGTACGATCAGATACACGTTGTGATATCGTAACTGTGATCTACAAAATTTTTTAGAATTGGTAAGGCTCTGCTACATGGGAACTGTTCGGGCAAAAGTCGAAGGCAAACTTAAAATTTCGTGAAATGTCGATCCTCCGTTTACCTATGTGTAATACGTGGCTTGATTGGGGTTAACAAATTTTGTTCAACCTTTGGGACCTCGTAGAACCTAGAATCCTATTAATGAAAGTTCTGGAGGATTTACAAGTCATGCTATAGATGTTGCGTGCAATATATAATAATATAATTACAAGAAAACTGAATACGCTTCTGGTTGAAAATTACTAAAGCAATCTACCAGAAGGTAACGGAACTGACGCTTGACCGTATGCTATCCTTATGTTTTTATTCCATTTTGTCAATTTCATTTTCTTATATCCTCGGACGGCGCAGCATGCTGATGCGAATCATTGGAGAGAAAGAAATTTACATGTAAAAGCAAATTCAGAAGCTATTCAGTAGGCACTCTAGTATCTATTTATACATATAAATGTACACGTAGGTGACTGTAATCCCATCTTAAAGAAGGTGCTGCCTTGTTCCTTTGAAGGTGTTACAAAAAATTTAATCCTCTACGACGTCCGCTTAAGATTTCGGCAGCTTCTTGAATTTTCTGCTCCCTTTCAACTGAATTCAATACTGAAGTCACTTTGAATTTCGTACGTTTTTCAACTGTATTCAGTACGGAGCTAGGGGCTGCTGATAAAATCCTATGTAAATGAGTATCATTTTAGTGCAATTCAAAATGAAAAACCCAACAACATCGCAATTTGCAAACCTGCACCCCTTGGCATATCTGAACTGGCAAAAAAATTCCGTGAACGTTCTGCTACAATCGCATCTCGATTTTCTGCTTCATAAATGACGCGATTATACTTATATCTCATTCATCGCCTTTCACTTTTTCTCGCCCTCTCGCTTATTCTGTTTCGTTATACCCATACTTGCTATCAGTCACCACCAGCCTTCCTATATTTGAGGTTAGCTTTTCTTCGCATCTACTTACTGTTTTGAATCATTACAGATACTCATACTGATCCTGAAGGATCGTGAGTCTGGCTTTATTATTTTTTCTCGCCGATACTGCCATTCATCAATAATCGTCAAGGACCTTCATCAGGCAGATCTAGCTGACAGAGAATCAGAGGGAACGAGGTAGTATCAATTGCAAGACTGAAAATTACTACTACTTAATGCAACAGAAAGATATATGGTTCCATTGTTATAAATCATCAGAAATAACGACGGATAATTGTTGACGAGTCACAAATGATTTTCCATAGGTGATCGTTGTTCTGGTACTACGATGGAGGGGATGCTTTACAAGATGTCAGAAATTGGTAAACATCAGCTTGACAGAAAACACACGTTCGCTGTATTGCCTACAGCGTGTTACACGTTGATTATATATAACTCATACTGATGAAATTCTTATTCCATTGTCAGTATACCTACGTGCGTACGTGGGACACGACGTTGATTGCCGCGACGTCTGACGTCGACGCGTTTGAGAAGATGGAAACGAAAAGCGTCTGACGAATTATTTTCGTACGAAGTGACTTCGTGCAGGTCGGCTTATTGTTAGTCGCGGAGATGTTAGTCACGTTGTGTTGTGATTTTAATAGATTGAACGACAAGCGCTGTTGTTACTTTGTGAATAATGATAAGAGTGTTTTGATCAGGGTTGCCTAAGGTTCTCGCAGTACCTGAACGTTGTCGTGCTGCAATTTGCGAAGCTGTGGATAAGAGTGTTAGAGGAAGTCAGAAAGGACGTCCAGTTATCTTCAGCACGTGATTGCCAGTTCTGTCATTACATCAAGGAGCTTTTTCGAAGTTAGGGCGTCGCTTGATCGGAAGTTCCAAGAGCCTCCAGAACTTTCGTGATAAAGAAGAGAAGGAAATTGGTCACAGAATGTCGGAACAAAATGATATTTACAACAGCAACATGACGGAATCTGAGTATTTAGAAGCAATGCTTGGGCCTAAATACTTGCCTATGAAATTGGTGGCACCACTGACTCTTGCATACGTGATAATATTCATCAGCGGAATCGTTGGGAATGTTGCTACTTGCATCGTGATAGCGCGCAATGTTTCTATGCAAACGGCGACAAATTATTATCTCTTCAGTCTTGCCATATCAGATTTAACTCTCCTTGTTCTTGGTGAGTTTATACGTTGTCCGCGTATGTCTCTACGTGCTTGATTCTTTATAATATTTTTTTTTCTTTGTTTCTTTATACGATCATTTTATTTAACAAAAGTGTTTGAGGTCTGAAACGCAGTTCACGCGGTTCATTGTAGTACCAGGGTGAACGAGAGAAATTTCGTGGGTTTCAACACCACGGATCTATTTTGCATACCTTATTGGGGTAGTTACCGTATTCAAAGGCTGGAATGTTTTTTTTTTAGAGCGTTTCCAAAATTGCTGCGGGACAATAAGTTGGTGGTTTGCTGTTCGTAGAAAGTTATGGCAATGTTTTTATGCCATTTTTTCACTACGACTAATTGCAATGGGAACGCCAAGTTTTTATCTGAAATGAGAAAATTACGGCAGGCCTTCTTGACTTCGCGTTACGCATCGTGAATTTGAGATGATAATAAAAGAGGATAGTACTTCTTGTCCTCTTTTTCACTCTTTGGTGAGATAAGAGCTTTAAATTAATCTTTTCATTGTGTACAGAGGCGATAGATATCGTGATATTGTCTATTTGCCAGTCAAAGCGTTGGTGTTAATTTGCGTCATTTGCAGGTCAACACTGAGAGCATCGCGACGCTGCTTGCGAAGGACTTAAAAAAATATAAAATATACCCAAGTCATAATCATGATAGTCGTCGACCTACCACCAAGACGTCACATTCTCAAAATACCTGCTCCCATTTTTCCCATCGTTCCACCATGTAATCCTTGAGCACTTTGAAAATTTGTAGAATTACTTATTGCTCCTTGCGGCATTTTTAGACTTATCAAACAGTTGTTTTGATTAAGAGGAGGGTCGAACTTATTAGGAGGCTTACTTATTTAGGAGGGTCGAAGAAATCGTTTTTTTTTTACATTTTCTAAAAGTGTCGGTGTTTTAACCATGTTTTCCTGATAATTCAAATTTCAACTCGTGAGAATAACGAAGGTACAGTGGTTGAAAAAAATTTGTTTCTTTATACCTTTGAACCCTATGTAACACTCTAAACTCGTTTTTCTCGAAATAGTTTTCTTAAAATTGGTACCCGAAATATTTTTAAAAAGTCTAAATTGATTGGCTTGAAATTTCTCACGTTAAGTAATACGGATTTATTTTCGAAGAGTAATTTCTTTGTTATCGACAAAAGACGATTCTTTTATAAAGAATTCCTATGTTAAACTCAACTGGTCGCCGTTTTGTAAAAAAAGTAAAATTTTCAAAACCAGGTATGACAAAGACTAGTTTCAACTATACATATTTTTAAATATATCTTTGGTTTTTTAATTTAAATTATCTCCTATGAAAGATACATCTGTTATCGCAAAGTTCTTTTTTTACATATGCCTCAAGTCAATGGCCATGTCTCCGTCATTGGTCAATTTTTTTTTACATATCAACATTTTTTTATAATATCTGCAAAACACATACTTGTTATTGAACAAGAGTCAAATAATTAAACTTTGTCGCTTCGTACCAAACAATTTTCGAACAATTTATTTGTTTTGTTTTTTTTCCACCTACGTATGTAAACCTTCCCTTAATGTACCACTTAAAAATTTTGTACTGTCTACTTCTATTGTAATTATTCTTACCCAATGAAATTACCCATAAGAAATCATACCGTTGCACCAATACTGGTACCAGTACTTAGCCGAGACCCTAAGATTGCACTTTAAGTTTCTTTTCTATGGGAAAGCTGTCACTTGAAAAAACAAGCTCTTGGAAAAATAAACCTTAACAGGATACCTTTTTCATTTAAAGTATTATAGGATGTGAATTACTATATAAAATCCATAACCAGTGCAAGCTAACATTTTGGATTCCGTAACGTGTACCAAGTGGATTTACATAAAGCTTACCGCAAGTACCAGAGGCGAATCTGGAAATCAAATGTAGTCAATTCTTCGGTTAGTTAAAAGAGACATATAGTACGCTACATGATAATGTTCGCAGACTACGCAAAAGCTGTTGCGAAATATTGGACGTAACCGTAACCCTTGAATCTCCATAATATGGCCACTGTTAAAACTACGATGGTAGGTTGGACAGCGATGAAAATTGATCGCCGTTATAGTCGAGCTGAGATTATATATTGCACGTGCCTATATAAACCCTAACATCGTTCAAGGCATGGGATACCCTTGCCAAAGCTTATTTTACTAATAAATTTATAACCTATATAAATTTATATAACCTTACTCCTTGTGTTATTTTAACACCCATGTACAAGTGCAGTCACAATGGGACGCAGGGTGTGTAGCTTTTCTATTGTGTCAACATTCAGTCACGCCACTCCGAATATAAAGCTTTTGTAAAGAATTCAAGAATTCAAGTTGAAGGAGTGTTGTAAATATAGAAAGTGGATTCCAACAGAGTTAGTTATATTATTTCCTCCTCTTTCAAACGCTACATCGTTTTTTCATTCTTTTGATTCCGCCATTTCTTAGAAACCTCAAGAAATCTGTGCAGTATTCCGGGAATAATTTTTGTTACTGTTTATTTTCCGAGAAATTGAGTATAGTTTTTATCACAATTCTTGCGATTGGTATTATTATTCAATAGGCAGCATACATATACATATGGTACGATCTAAGCAGGAAAAAGCCGTCTGAGACGGCATAGGGAATAACATGGGAAAATGTACGTCATCCGAGACACCTTTGCCCTACTAAGCAGTTCTCGTGAGTAATTGCTACATGGTTAATCGGATGATCATTTTGAGTCTTCCGGAGTTGTAATCTTTTTTGTCCCTGGGGAATTGGAATCGATAGGTTTGTATTGGTTCTACAACCGTTATCAAGTGAGATTAGAAGCATCAATTTGACAACCCTATTAAGTACAGTAGCGTTGCTCATGGGATTTCATTCACAGGTCAAACTAAGCTTTGAATCTGACAGGAAATTCTCTTGGATCCAGTTTGAAGACATCCTGATAGGTCCTATATCTATGTGATAGCTAACTAAACTGAAGTTGCTTTAATTTTTTATTAAGTCTTCAATATTTTTACGTAGCAAAAATCGACTATCAATCGAAAATTTTCTCGAAGTACCCAATGAGCTTAAATGTATTGGTTTAAAAAATTGACAGCTGGTAGGAGATTTGCTGGAGATTTGACTTTATTAAAGTAGGGATCAGGATGCTCCTCTTTCGAACCAAAGTATTCGGGGAATTAGCGCTACAGGGACAATGCGTATCCCTTGAGATCGATCAATTGGATTCAAAGTGTCCTAAGAATCAGAAAGAGGTGGAGTATCGAAATTACCATCATTCGTTTAATTGGAAAAGATTAGAATTTCTCAGGCACGGTGAACCCTCCGCATTTCAATGAATTAATTTTAACACGTCTCACTAATTATCCAGGGTGACGAACTGTCTTGTCTTTTCTTTGAAGTCATCTTCCATCCTGTATCTGAAGAATCACTTCGAATTATAAAATTATAATAATTATCGATGTATATTAACCATCCTTTGAATCCCTTTAGCCTGTCATTGAAGTAGCTTATGTCAGGTTGGTACAATTAAATTTAAACTGAATCAAAGATTGAGATTAGGTCTTATTCATGTCTTATTAATCCAGCTTAGGTATTACAGGAGAAGATATGAAAATTTCTTGGCTCAGGATTCTCGAGGATGCAGATCAGTTTTATAGTTACTTTATAAATAGTCGGTATCCTACTTATAATAATAAGGATCATTCGGTTTTACATTTAATTATCATGGACCTTTTACGCCTGTTAATATTCGGCGATATGATGGGGCATCACGCTACCAATTAACGGGAGCCCTCTTTATAATCTAGCTCATAAATTTCATTTTTCCAAATGAATTCTTAAACGGCCTAAGCGGAATGGGAGATGCGAGGGACTCTTTTAGATCGAAAGTCATAAAAGGATGACCCCTACAAAATTCAAACGGACTGAAACGACCACGTTTCGCCAAGCTATAAAGTTTTGTGTGGAAACCAAATCGTTTCTTGTTTCTTGGTCTATAAAAATGCTGACCCTTCGGGTTGACTGCCTCTTCTTGATACAAATTCTTATTTCTCTCTACTCATTATTTCATGTAGTGTTAAATTTTTTGGTAAAGTTTTTACGTTTCTAGAACGGACTCGATACTGTGTATATCTACTAAAACTAAAACTTGACTCCACCTTTTATAATCGAAATGACGTAGTACAGCTCATATGGGTCGTTTCGATAAACTTTATCATAGATTACTGTTATACCAACCTTTACATTGGGTTGATAAGAAACTCTTGCGACGCCGAAGGATTTTCTTTGAAAAATTATTACATTTTATTGTATTTTATATATTTATCTTTAATGTCTATCAAAAAAGAAGCTTCGAGAATATTCAAATAGTTTTTCTCTAGAATGTTCTAGACCAAATTCGATAAAAAAAAAAGAGTATATGATGGAAACAAAAAATGTCGCAAAACTTTCTTAACAATCCAGTAATACGAATGTTCATAGAGTATACTTACTTTATTCTTGCAATTCCACGTTAGCTTTCTACACTTAGCATTATGTACGTACAGTACATAAAAAGTATTAAAAGGTCGAATGGACCAATTTGAAGCAAAGAAGGTACGTTGGTAACGTAGGTTCATGAACTCCTAGTAATAAATAGATATAATATATTCGCAAGTGCCGTAAGGTGATGAGGCTAAGCCAATTCGATTTTAAAAAGAAAAGTTAAATACAGAATGCACGTAAAAATGTATACCTAGTAAAAGCATCCAAGCGCCTGGGCTGAACAGGTAGATCCATCAAAGCTTGTTTTTTTAAAGAGAAAAATGAAATTCATATAAAATGTGCATTATGAATTTTATTATTATTCTAGTGTACAATGATTTGTAGGTTTGCCGAACGAGTTGAGCTTCTTTTGGCAGCAGTATCCGTGGATGCTGGGTGTACCACTTTGCAAGATAAGGGCTTACGTCTCAGAAATGTAAGGAATGTTCATCATACCCTCCCTCATTATTCATTCTTATTCATAATTTCTCATTTCCTTTCATGCCATGAATGTCTAACAATACTTTATCTATCTTCCAGGTCTTCCTACGTTTCAGTATCAACTATCGTGGCATTCTCGATGGAGAGATACCTTGCAATATGCCATCCATTTCAGGTTTACAGTATAAGCGGTTTAAAGCGTCCTGCTCGTTTCATCTTAGCTGCATGGTCTATTGCCATCGTTGCAGCAGTACCATTCGCAGTATATACCAAAGTGAATAAAGTTGAATTTCCACCAAGTATGTTCAATTCGATTCTCCTGAAGGAGAACATTCCCAGATAGTAAAGTGTCGTTCAAGAAAAAAGGAGGCAGCAACAAATTTTTACTACTTGTCTATTCGTCTGGAACTATAGAGAAAGTGATTCCCATACGTGGTCAACAAAGCAATTGCTGTTCCTCAAACATTTACTTTATTGCCGATCGCCACTACTTTCCTGTTGTTTGCTGTTCTATTTCGGCAGTTACGTGTTGTATCGATGTGACAGCAGCGTAATAGACAAATGCGGACGCAACGTGTTGCGATTTTCCTGATAAGCTTGCTTGCGAGTGATAAGGCGTTGTTAGAAAATTTATGAACACTTTGCTATCTGGAGATAGAGTCTGATTAGACTAAAACTTGACTAGAGGTAGCTCTTATTAGATTCTGGAAATTATTCGGATGAATCTGCGATATGCGCCATCCTCCAGCCGGACCTGCCTCAATTTCCCCTCTACGAAATGAGCTGCATTGTCTTTTTCCTGGTACCGATGACGGTCATCCTGATCGTTTACACGAGGATGGGTCTTCGAATCTGGGGAAGCACTGAGAATCCTGTTGGACAGAGTCACAGTGACTCGCATCATGTTCAATCCAGGAAGACCATCGTTAAGATGCTTGGTGAGTTGAATCTTGGTTAATCATGTGCGACATAGAAATACGTGTACCTGGCGAATAAAAATTTATAACAGTTTTGTAGCATCGATGTTCTGTGATTCAGGAGTATTGCACCGACTGAAGTTGGTCTGTTCATTTAATTGTATGATTGAACCTGCTCCAAATGGTACGATACTACTGAATGATCTTACATGTTATATGCTATATATACAAGTCATTAAATGAAAAATCTGTTCACTGCCTGGTAAAATATCACTAGATCCTAGTTGATATAATTCAGGTCTAACAGGAACTAATCGGATATCGATTTTGGGAAAATTGGCTCGTTCAGATCAGATTTTAAATCTCGTTAAGTCTAACAAGATTTGTTCACATTTTACTTGAAAATTGTTCTAGCGTTGTGTTAGATCTGACCTGATCATATTAAATCAAATGAAATGAAGTCAGATCTGATAAGTCAGATCTAACTTAACATTGAAACAATTTTGAAATCAGATCTAGTCGGATCTAGAATCTGATCTGAAGAATTCAATTTTCCTGAAATCAAGATCCGATCAAATCTAATTAGATCTTAGTTAGATCAAATCAGATCAAATTATTCTTTTCCCTGGCGGGGTAGTGACTTCAAGGAATTTTATGAATGGACTCCATTCCTTCGCAGTTTACTTCAAGTTTTACTCCTGCTTTACTTTCAGGCGCAGTCGTCTTTATGTTCTTTTTATGCTGGGCACCTTTTCACACACAGCGACTACTTTATATCTATGCTCAAGAAAAGGATTACTACCCTGATCTGAATGAGTGGCTGTACATCCTTGGTGGCTTTCTCTACTACTTCAGCGCAACTGCCAATCCAATTCTCTATAATTTGATGAGTGCCAGGTATCGTGAGGCATTTAAGCAAACTCTATGCTGTGGACCACGATATGAACATACCCGAGGAAGCTCCAGGGAGTCAAAGTCAACTATCTGTAGATGTCATTCCAGTAAAGAGGATCCTGAACATTTGGGTCACGTGCCCAGCCTTCGATGCTCCATCAGGTTAGTTTTCGAATGAAGTTCATTGGAATTTTCAAAAAAACTTTTTATCATGCTGCCTTCTGTATCCCACGCCTGTCTGTGTTTCTGCATTAGATCCACCATTAACCAGGCTAAGGAGATGTTTACCGTGAGTCCCGATAGACAGAATGTTGCAAAGATCCAAAGAGAGTCTACTGTTCCCACCCGACGTAAGAATCAGTTCCTTCTACCGGAAGCTGCGCGCGACTTGGAATCTGCTAGTCCTCTTCTTGGTAAAACCAGATTGACAAATAGGCCGAGTAACGAAAGTTCCTCCTCGCACAATAGACCGGAGGAGTCATTGTCGACAGCCAGTAGCCTTCTCTGATAAAGTGATATATGGTGCTTGAAACTTTTGTGAAGGAGAAGAGAATTGTTCCTTTCATCTAGCCAACCTGTGGAATTGATACAGGAATTCTGCACCCGTTTTACGGTGGTCCACTTCTGAGAAATCCTGCCATCTGACATTATTAAAGGAAGTAGCATCATGTTGATACGAACATTGTAAAGCGAGCAATCACATTTTTACTACGTTAATACATATACATAACAAATATATTGTTCTAATTTATGATAAACGATTATCAGTTCATAATTCTTGTCTCTTCCTTATGAAATATCTGAGTGTGAAAGATCATTCATGCAAGCAGATCATCATTTGACCTTCAAGTACATACATCATAAAGAGTGATGCGTGATCCTTGAGACATTTCGTGCCTAACAGCCATTTGCCTTACGTCACTTATCTATTACCCGATACGTTGCTTAACATGCGAGCGAATAAAGAAATTACCTGCCGACAGACAATGACACTAAATATCAGTTCAAATATCGGTCGACTTTACACGTAGAACCGCTGACCAAAAGAAAGGAAAATACGCGGTAAAACGAAAGACAGATGTTGGTCGATTTGTTCAAGCAAATACTCATTATGCAGGCTACTGGTGGAACGAGCGCCATCATCGTACAGTACCCCAGGGAGAAAGGAGTGTCATAACAAGAGAAGAATCGTAAATAAGAGATACGAAGAGTGAGTGAGAGGGAAAGAGAGAGAATGAGAATGAGAGGGAGAGAGAGAAAGCCCTAAGGGCGAACCTGAATAATGTTTAGATTTCTTTACAAAGTTCGACACTTACATGAATGAAACGTCATTCGATCGAATCAAGACGTTTAAAATTATGAAGGGGTTGCGGAATGTGGACTTCTTGCATGCCGACGTCAGAGTGACTGATGCAGAAGCTGACTTACGTTAGAAGTGGTTACTGAAGGGAATTGACGTACGCGCTTCCTTGCGAGTAGCCAAGTTATCCCCAGGCTCGAGAACGAGGTTGTTGATAATGGATGGGTTCGATTTTCAGACAGGATATCAATCATTGAATTTCGATCTATTCTAGGTTCTCGATGGGTGAGTATAAGGGATGCTGCAATTTCCAAAGGTGGCTAAGCTGGTCAAAGAGGAACTACAACGCTTTTAGAGCCGCGATAAGAGTTTCGTATAAGATGCGATACTTTCTCGCGATCTTTCACGCAAGAAAAAATTATGTAAAAACGAAAAATTCTAAGCGAAAATGTGTGTAATCTTGAAAAAAAACATTGTTCCCTATGTGGAAAAGTAGTACATGTCGACGAAATGAAATATCTGATCGCTGAAGAGAGACTCCGTAAAGTATTGAAATACAGTGTACTTTTTTCTCTTGAATTTTGCCTTACCTCCATTTTATATATATAACCGCAAAGGAATTTCATAAGTTGTGAAGGGCTCGATACATAAATCGAAGAAATGTTATATACCGTGCTAGTCCATGCGAATTCCGCGTGGCAAATCGTAAAGGAGCATTCGCAATACGTTGGTAGATCCGTTCAAGGTACGTAAGTAACAGAAACACGATGATAAAATTCCATTAATTATTCTTGCACAGCATGCGACAGCTTTTAGTATTGTTAAATGGATATATAAACAGTTTTAAAATCAATTATCCTTATGGTATTAGTTTGACTTTAAGGTTAGGATCATACGTTGCCTCGTTCAAAACCATCTTACACATATTACACAAGTCCCTATAGGGATTTCCTTGGGCTTATCAAATAAGTTTTAGACATAGCCAGAAATAACTAAGGATAGGTTTCCTTGAACTTAATTGAAAATTTTCATCATAATATCTCTTGGGTACATTAGTGGAAGCTAACGACGTCGTAGATGTAAATAATCTGACAGGGACCTAACCCATTAACAGGTATCGTTACCCATTAACCGACACTAAGGTCCTTCCATAGTTATGTAGTCTGATAGACGCTCGATAAATGCTACTTAGTTGTTCATACATAACAAATCAGAATAGAAAGCTTCTTCGAAGTAAAATTGTACACTGTTACAGCACTTGCATACAATATACTTATTACGTAGGGAAGATACGTAGTAATAAGTACAAACAATATTCTGTTGACGTCTATAATCATAATAAAACTACTTACACGTTCTGGACAAATCTTCTCTTGTCACTTTCCTTTTCACTCAATTACAATTAACCTTACTTTTCAATTCGTAGCACGCACCGAAGAGAACTCACGTGTCTCATTCAATTTACATATTATAAATCGCACTACCTTTCTCAGCAGAGCAACGTATATTACCATACAACCTTGTGAATGGCAGATTGCATTAAGACGAGTCAAATTTTGATCTTAAAAATTGTTATATATTTCATTCTATCCGTAGGTATAACTCGGCAGCTCTCTCAAGTATAGCTTGGCTAACAATGTGTCTCTTGCCCTGTACTTGGCGCGCGACTCTACCGAGTCTTTCGATCTTATAATTTGTACCTAACCTCTAACTGTACATCACTAAGGTAGATAGATAGCAATTTCTACCGGTTTCAATGAAGTAGGGTCATCAAACAAGCTTAAAGGTTTGTCAAGTTTATCTTTATGTAAGCTTTATTCCGAGGCAAGTGTCTAATTCGAAATAATATGATGATAAAGCTGATACTGTCCGCATTAAAATGTATTATAGGCAGACACGTAGTAATAATGTTGCTGATTTGATTTATAAAGTATGAAACGCTCGACACGTATAGACATATCGTACCCGTGACGTAAGTCGAATATGTGATATATGTATTTACTAACGCATTTTCATTAGCGTCCGTTATGTCTGTTTAACTTTCGAACAATCTATCTGTATGCGTATACATCGCCTTTGGCTATTAAATGTTGGAGGTATTTGCACGTGTAATCAATATTTAATCAAATCCCTTTGATATCGGTGTTTGATTAAAATTTTTTTCACATTTTCGTTATGATATTTCAAATGTAAGATGAAATTCAGAAATTATTAATTTTTTTATGCTACATTGCCATCGTGCAGTGTCGTGTTAAAAAAAAATCTCAGATTCGGTTATGAACGCTTTAATGATCAATTGTCACTTTAAAAAATGAAATGTTAGTACATGCTAGTACAGAGACATATGGACAAAGTTCCCGTCCGCGTTTCAATTGCAAACTTCTCATATTAATCTTCTTGAGATCTGAGATATAAAATGTGCAATGGACCAGGCCGATTTCAGATATAAAGTATCGCGCCCAAAAAACTTAAGTCACCGAATTTTTTCACAAGAAGGTATTATTGAAAGATGCGAGAATAAGTTCGACCTCGTATTAGAATAATTGCGGTTTTCGTAGCGAAGTAACTGGCAACGCTGTGCATCGTTAGCTGTGCTTTCGGAATCATCGGGGATTGGATTTTTGAGAAAAAAAATCAAAAATTGAAAAATTATGTAGAGTCCAAGTTCCGTATATTTTATGTATCACAGAGTTTTAAAAAGAACCTCCTAAAATCGTTTGATGATAGTATACCTTTACATACTCGAAAATATTAGGGACTTCGCTTGGGTAACCACAAAAAACATCTATGTTCGGTCCATGAGTTTGTTGTGATGTTTTTTGGCAGATCCAAAACAATGAAGTCTCTGGCAAGCCATACCTGGGTATCCCTAGAATTCTTCTTACAAAGTATGCACGCGCATGGTTTCACAATGAATTATCTTCGTTTTTCTATATTAGCATATATTTCCAGAATTTTGTAGAAACTCACATGTGATTCGTTAAGCATATCATCGTTTGCGAATTTAAAAAAAAACATTGAACTCATCGACCGACTATACGCGCTCGGAATGCCTTAAATTTCCGACGGTAAATGCTCTGACGCTAATCCTTATTCTTATTATGGATAGATCGGTGTGAGAGATTTGTTTTCAATCTTCTATTTCAAGCTAGTAATGCTTTTACGGCTTAGGAAGCTTCTACACTGCCTACAAAAAAATAAAGGAATCGTAGGATAACAGTAGCGCGTAAATGAAATCGACGAGCTTTTCAGCTAATAAGATCAAAGGTTATAGACGTAGTACTGGGGTGTATCTGGTAAATCGAATTGAGCCAAAAAAGTGTATAGTAACTTCGTAATGGCATTTACCTAGAATGAAATGGCAGTATATTAGTGACGTTCGTTTTCACGTTGCAGAGTGGCATTTGCGGGTTATATAATCAATTAATCAAATACAAAATTGGATTGTACGCTGATGAGAATATGGCTATCCGCCTAAGAATCTTAAATTATGACGATTACTAAAAAAGTTTAAAACTAGCGTACACAACCACTTTGAATAATGGTAAGATGTGGCGGTTCCTTTATTTCTAGCGGTAATGCGATCAAAAGAAAATCAAAATGTAAGATAATCGATATCGCGACTCTTTTATGTATAGAATGGCTACCACTCTTTTCACAGGAATAATACTATAAATAGATAATATCTTTTATTATATTCTGGGATGGTACATACCCTTTACCATCCCTCTGCTTGTACAAAAATACCTATCGTAAGAGGCCAAGGGTATAACAAAGGAATATATACAAAGGCAAAGTGGGAAATTGAGGAAAAGTTGTAACAGAAAATGAAGAAAATAAATATAATCTAACAATCTAATTTAATCCACGTCAAAATAGGTTGAGTGTATATGGATAAATTACTTGTAAACTAAAAAATCTTAGACTTATAATAGGATAATAATATATAATGCATAATTTAGTGAGTTGTGAATAATTATATGGTTATATATATTTTTTTCTAGTATATGTGAATAAGTACAGGTATAGGTGTACGTATAGGTATATATGTATAGGTATCTCAGAAATCTATATATTAGAGAAAGGGAAAGAGAGAAAGGAAGAGTGGTAGAAGCAGCAGTTTGCGTGTTTTACGGAAATTCCATTACGGTTTAGCCAACGACGATGGCTTCTTTTCACAGATATTACAATACACATAAACGTTTCTATAGAATTCTCCATTACCTTCTCACTATCTTTCTTATTTTATTTATTTTTCCCTCTATCTTCAATCTCAAACCGATTTCGAGATACGATAGCACAGAGATATCCAATTCTCCCGCCTAGTTCCCTTAAAACGGATACTTAGTAGCGCAGCTCATAAATCAGCGAAGAGATTTAGTATGAAAAATTTATTGCAGCTCCGTGGGGTGAAAAGAGTTTTTCCGATGACTATTTTTACAGCCCCCACTCAAACCATTCTGGTCAGCCGAAGAGGCTCCAGAGAATATCTCGAGAGTTATCGGCACTCGTTCGCGCACCACTGCGAGGAGTGGAGTTATAAATTTTAGGTTAGCAATGACGGGCTCGAGTGTTGTCTGTTTAACGTAACTATGGATGCCCTCATTCTGTACGCGTAGTAAAAGCCCCTGGAACATTTACTAAAAAAACCATCCGTCGGATAATCGTTCAGTGAAATTATCCCAGCAGTTTTAGGTTAGAGTGACAAAGAGGAAAGAAAAAAAAAACGTAGGCTAGATTTTAAATCCCATACTGTATGCTCATGTATATTTATGAGGTAAAGGTACCCATTATACCTGTATATACAACTGTTATAAAGTGTTAAGATAACATTAACGAAGATGCCTATAGGATTTTCAGTATGACAAATGATCCTTACAAGTATGACTGTACCGTTTCGTACGAAAAGAAAAGTAAAAGGAGAAATACTACATGTGACGCTACGTGAAATTGGTTCTATCGTAAAAATTAAGTGAACCGGCTAATTTATTTATTATTTTCATTTTATTTTTAGTCATTTTTTCCTCTCTACTTCAATAAGGTAACATAAACGTCACAGTGGGTTCTAATGTTCGGTCACAATCACTGGCTGTCCGTTATATCGTATTTCCATCTCTCTTGCACATACGATTGGTCCAGTAAAGGGATTTACACACACAAAATAACGTAACGACGTAAGACGTAAGCGTAAGGAAACCAACCAATCAGAATCTAATACTGTCCCTTCCACTTTTGTCCGTAAGACGTAAGCCGTAGTGGCGAAAAATGTCGTACGGATGAAATCGTTACGGCTTACTTTTTATGGACAACCAATCACAAACCTTCTCTCGTTCTCGCTTAAAAGAACATTCTTTACAGAAACGAGTGGCTTTGATGTGCTTAATAACGAAAAAACGTAAACATATACAAAATACGCATTATAAAACAAAAGCGATACGCGCAATTTTAAGGTTAGGAACTAAGTAATGAAACGATTTTCCTGTAAAAGTATAATTCAATCTGCATATCATGCATCTCAATATAGTTACAATTTATAAAATATCAAATCCTTAATTGTGAGTACATAATTGTTATCATGTACTTACTTTTTACAACAGAAAATAGCTAAAAAAAATAAAATTATAGTATGTACAATGACGACACTTTGATAAAAATACGCAATTCTTTCTTAAGTGTGATTGGCCGTAGCTTACTCCTTACGCGTGTGGTGTGCGATGGTGCTTACTGATTACTGCTTACGGTTACGTCTTACGTCGTTACGTCGTTTTGTGTGTGAAGGCCTTATTTGGTATATTTACTTTACTGTCAGCATTGACTATTAACGGTCACAAAGAAGCAGATGGAAACATTGAAATCTGATTTGAAAATCGGCCCACAAACGGCGCAGTCTTCATTTTTTGAACCCACCCACCTAGACACATAGGCCCGTCTCGTCGTGGATGTCACACTGAATTGAAAGCCGACGAAGTGAGCGGTATGAGACAGGCGAACTAAGAATAAAAAATTACAATAGAAGCGAAAGTTGAAGAAATAAAATTTCCTTTGAACTTCCGTCTCTTTCCTTGCGATATACCGGACGATTTGGTCTAACACGATATTGTAGGAAATCGTTCGGGATACGTTATCGTCTTCTGTAGTCGACGATCAGCGAGAGAGAGAGAGAGAGAGAGAGAGAGAGATGACTCAACCAAGTAGAAAACGATAAACAGTTAGACTTCTGTAGTCGACGATCAGCGA